GGCATCCCATATAGGCGCTGGTTCTAGTCCCAGCCGCTCCTCTTCCAATCCAGCTCTCTGCTATGGCCTGGGAAAGCAGTAGAAGATGGCCCAAGTTCTTGGGCCCCTGCACCCATGTGGGAGACCTAGAAGAAGCTCCTGGCTCCTGGCTTCAGATTGGTGCAGCTCCAGCCAGAGCAGCCATCTGGGGAGTGAACCATCGGATGGAAGACCTCTCTCTCTCTGCCTCTCCTCTCTCTGTGTAACTCTGACTTTCAAATAAATCTTTAAAAAAAAAAAAAAAACTTCTCCAAGTGTAAACGTATCTGGCAAAACCACTGAGTGGTCAATTTGCAGGTGGGTGCTTCCCCGAGACTGCTCAGGTGGATGCTTCCCCGAAACTGCTCAGACTGTCAGAGGCACCGCCTGTCCAGCTCTGTCAGAGGCACCGCCTGTTCCCAGGGTTCATCACAGACTTGGTTACACATAAAGCTCGTGTACACTCCAGTCTTCCAAGATGTGCAGAAGACTGCTGGTGGGGAAGGGAGGGAACAAAGAGGCTGGCGGGGAAGGGAGGGAACAAAGAGGACACACAGCATAGGACCCTGAGCTCATGGCCAATTATCCCCAAGGCTGAAACTCTCCGCATTGCTGTGTAACTTTGCTCATGCTGTTCCCTCTATCTTGGGGGTGAACTCACGCTTCAAGGCCTAATTCAAATACTGTTCTCTCAGCAAAGGCTTTTTCAACATCTCCAGGCCCTGTAAAAGATGCCCCAGGGGAGGGGCTCTCAACCATCTAGGAACATGGGAACACATTTGTCTGGTGGTCCGTTGTAATAGGCAGGGCCCCCATTCCCAGCTCTTACATTGTGGCTATGTATGCACTTTCTTAACACAATAAGGTTTACCCTGCACTGAATAATCTCATACATCAGACTTGCAAATACCAACTGCACATTGTTTATCCTAACAGTTGGCCACCTGCAATATTATTTACTTACTTTAAATACATAGTCTCCTACATGGATATTTTAAGACTTAGAGGCACATGTTTTTAAATTCAACTTTAAAATATCTGTTTTACTTTTTTCTTTTTTTAATTTAAAAATGTCTATGTTAATTACAGCATCTCTTGCCCTACACAGAAGGTATCCTTAAAAACAAATACCATAAAAACAAAATGGCATTGTTAAATTCTATTATGCAGTTCCTACTTTTTATTACAGAAACTGCCACCTGCAAAGATTTGGGGCTTAGGAAGTGTCAGCAAGGCGTTACAAACAGACTTGTACTGAAATGAGATTGTCTTCCTGGCAAATTCAGGATAGAAAAAGAATTTAAAATGGAGCTGCTTCCATGCCGAAGTGATACTTTAACACCACGGTCTTTGACAGTGGGTGTGAGAGCCCACACTGAAAGCTGAGGGGGTAGAAAACACAAAGAGCCGGTGCCGTGGCTCAATAGGCTAATCCTCCACCTTGCGGCGCTGGCACACCAGGTTCTAGTCCCGGTCGGGGTGCCGGATTCTGTCCCGGTAGCCCCTCTTCCAGTCCAGCTCTCTGCTGTAGCCCAAGAGTGCAGTGGAGGATGGCCCAAGTGCTTGGGCCCTGCACCCGCATGGGAGACCAGGAGAAGCACCTGGCTCCTGGCTTCGGATCAGCGCGATGCACCGGCCGCAGCACGCCAGCCGTGGTGGCCATTGGAGGGTGAACCAACGGCAAAAGGAAGACCTTTCTCTCTGTCTCTCTCTCTCACTATCCACTCTGCCTGTCAGAAAAAAGAAAAAAGAAAAACACAAAGAACAGACAGGGAGCCGGTGGTGAAGCCTGGGTTGTCAGGAGCTACGTTTGTCTCCTTCTGCGAGTCATTCATGATTCTATCCAGCACCTATACCCATCTCAGTCTCTCTTTTTTATAAAGATGGATTTACTTGAAAGGCAGAGTGACAAAAAGAGACGAGGAAAGAGATAGAGATCTTCCATCCGCTGGTTCACTTCCTAAATGCCTACAACAACCAGAGATAAGTCTGGGTCTGAAGTAAGGGGCCACAAACTCCATCTTGATCTTCCATGTGTGTGGCAGGGGACCAAGCACTTGACCCATCACCTGCTGCCTCCCAGGGAACACATTAGCAGAAAACAGGAAGCTGGATCAAAAGTGGAGGTGGGAGGCTGGCGCTGTGGCATAGTGGGTAAAGCCGCTGCCTGCAGTGCCAGCATCCCATATGAGTGGTGGTTCAAATCCTGGCTGCTCCACTTCCTATCCAGCTCGCTGCTATGGCCTGGGAAAGCAGTAAAAGATGGCCCAAGTAAGAGGGGGCCCCTGCACCCACTTGGGAGACCCAGAGGAAGTGCCTGGCTCCGGATCATCACAGTCTGGCCGTTGCGGCTAATTGCAGAGTGAACCAGCAGATGAAAGATCTCTCTCTCTCTCTCTCTCTCTCTCTGCCTCTCTTTCTCTCTCTCTGCCTCTCTTTCTCTGTGTAACTCTGCCTTTCAAATAAATAAATCTTTAAAAAAAATGGGTGTGGGACACTATTCCAGGCACTCTGATATGAGACACTGATGTCCCAAGCAGGAGCTTAACCCAGTGTACCACAATGCCCACCTCCTTTTTAAAATAAATTTATTACGTATTGATTTATTTGAAAGGCAGAGTGACATGATGTTCTAAATACTTTACTCATTTCTTTTTTAGACTTGTATTCACTGAACACAGTGCTTTGTGCTCATACCAGGAGTTCAGCATTATTAATATGGCCATAAGGAAAACAATGTCCTCATGAGGTTTATCATCTTTCTTCCCCGTTTATACATCTTGTACTCCGTCCCTTGGTAGACTACAGTGAGTCGCGTATCTGTCTTATTTCTTTCATAGGACTTAATCAACGGAAGCAGCTTCAAACGTATCTGAATCCAGAGCTTTCCAATACCCCCTACTGCAGCCAGACCCCCAAATCCCGAGCTGAGATAGCCGCGACAGTTTTACAGAAGCCCACTAGAGGGCGCGCACATTTTTCAATTCCCAAAGAAAGCGCCTACGTGGGTTGTACCCCTGAGGTTTGGAATTGGTGTCTCGTTTTCCCACTTTGAATTCAACATGGGGCAAATGTGGTGAGCCCTCAAGTTCTCTCATTCCACCCACCCATCTTTACCCCATGCAGTGACTTCTCCGCTGCCATAACGAAGTTCTTTTGCTCACAAAACCACAACAATTTCGTTTGTTTCCAGCATTTGTCCTTTTGACATTTTAGAAGAAATAAGATCCAAGTTTGGTGTTGAAAAGAAAGCATTGATTTCTTTAGTCCGAGGAGTTCTCTCTCCTTCCTATTACCATTTTCCTAGCTGTGGGGGGAATGCTCCCTGGAGCTAAGATCTTCTAGGGGTGGGGTGTGTGTGTGTGTGTGTGTGTGTGTGTGTGTGTGTGTTAGGAGAGGTGACAGGGGTCCTTCTGAGCAGATCTTTCAGAGCTAACATCAGCCCTCTTGCTGCAGATTGAGGTCCAGCTTTTTCCTCTTTCACATTCCGGATGGACAAGTTCTTGACCTCAAACACTGGAGAATGCACTACCTGATCTCAGGACTACAGTCCTCACCAACCATGATCCAAGAGAAATACCCAATGGTTTCCCACAAGTTCTTTCCCCTATAGATTGCCCTGGAACCTTAGGCCTCACCCTGTATTCGATTCCAAAGTTTTCTTTCCTTAAAATATCCATTCTAAGGGTTTTTTTTTTTGGGGGGGGGGTGAGGGGAGTCAGCAAAGATTATTCATGAAATAAATCGCAAATATGTCCTATTGCACATGGGTATGAAATTACCTTTGGGGTGACCTCCTCTCCAGGTTAGGCAGGGAACATAGCAAAAGAGGGAGACCCTGGGTTCCCCTTTCTGTGAACCTCAGCCAGCTTGCCCTTTAAGGAAATGAACATTTTTTTTTTAAGAAAGGTGTCAGAAGTCCCCAGAGGCTGTAGCTTTTATGCAAATGCGCTACTCAGGAAGCCAGCTCACAGAGGGTCATTTATATCTCACAGGCGTTACACATGCAAAAAGTGAGCTGTGAATCTGAATTTCCAGGAGTGCATGTTCTCAGGATGAGCACATCCTGGCAGTTAGCTGTTTTGGTGGCACCCAACTCCCGTGCCTCCTCGTCAGATGTTTTTCCAGGCGAAGGGCTGCCTAATGCTCAGCAGTTTCAGAATGACCCTAAACGTTCCTCTCCAGTGGGACTTCCTGACCTGAACTTGCCCCCGGCGCCAGATTTACCAGCACCTCCGAGTCTCTAGGAATAGGTGCATTTGTTTCCTTTTCCCTTAATCAGGGACAGCCGTCAGTCATTAAAAAGGAATCACGTGGCCCAGTTATTGCCCTTCCTTTCATATTGCCTCCTGGAATTAGCCAAGAAGACGGCCGTTTCTCTAGGAACGACAGCCCTGCTCTGTTGCTAGTCCCCCCCCCCCACCAGAAATATAGACCCTTCTCCAAATTTAAATCTACATTAATCACTTCAGGAAATTGCTTCCTCCATTGGAAACTGATAGCTCACATCGGAATGGTTCCACAGCACAGCTGATGACAATTATGACCCACTGAAATTTCAGTTTTCTTTGATTGTGACAAAAACTGGGACATAAATTAAAACCCAATTATCCTTTAAGGGTAATTGGGGTTATAAAACCAAGATCGTCGGTGTGTTGATGTTGCAGGAGTGCCGTGTGTGAGGGGATGGTAGGTGTTCTGTCCCCAGAGCAGTATTTCATACAGAAGGGTCTGAGGATAAGGTAATCTGTGCCCAGTGTGTACCAAGGGGGCACATCAGACAGGGGGACAGACTCAGGCAAATGTAGTGAGCATCCAGGAGAAATTGGAATGGTCACGGGATGCCGACACAGCAGCGGGAAGCGTGGGACAAAGTGCTGGCTTGCCCCTGGGAAGGTAGCCTGTGGTGGAACAAAGGACCAGAGCCAAGGCTCCAGCCTGCACCTGACCCTGCACACCTGAAAATCAAAGTTCGTTCTTACCTGCGAGACACATGAGTTGAACTCTGGTTCCATGCACTACGTCATCAAGGTCCCTAAGAAGAGCATGGACTTGGCTTTTTTGCAGAGGGTGGGATCTGGGAAAGTGGCAGGAAAAAAAAAAAAGACATGGGGTAAGTCAAGTCATAAATCAAGTGCGCAATGAAAACTTTTGAAAGGAAGCCTTGGATGATTCTTTCAATGCAGGGGTTGCTCACATATCTGGATTCACCCAGACGGCTGTCTCTCGATGACACGACTTTGTATACTCTTCAGGTCTTCCCTGACCCGTCCCAATTTTGTACCTCAAACCTCTTGTAGGCAATCCCTCTTCCCCCATCCTGGATTTTCGAAAACGTTTCACTTCCCTGTCTTTCCAGAGAAATGTGTCGCTCCCTCCTACTGTGTACTGTTCATAGTTTTAAAAGAGCACATACTCACCACATGACAATGAACTTTCCCTCCCTGTCCCTCAGCCAAAAGCCCCAAGAAGTCTTGACTACGCTTGGCCCTTTTTGTCTCTCTATGGATCTGTGTCATTGGGCGTATAGTAGGTCCTCAGAAAAATGATGCTGAATAAAACATGACCCCAGATCTCTCACTGGTGTTTCTGGAAGGTAAATATTGCTGAGTTATTAACCATGCAGGAGACATCACCAGACCCAACCCTCTGCAAAAACAAATAAGTTTTCCTTTGAAAGCATCTCCCTCTACACACAAACTTCTGGCTACAGGAGGATATAAACAGCCACCTTGGGGTTCAGTCGACGTGTCAGTGTTGTCAAGTCCCCTGACAGTGACAAGTAACACACGAGATCCAGGTATTTCCACCATGCATGTGAAACATCCAGGAGAAGGACTATGTCTGATCTGGGCTTTTGCAACCACGTTTCATAATCCACTTTCTTATCAAGTGCCTCGGAAAGCCAAAGAGAAATAGGTACAAATTGTATCCACAAAAGATAAGACCTTGATTCTCCCGGGCCAAGCCAAGTATACATTATAAATAGCAAAACAGCTGGCTTGGACCCTGCTGCCGGCCACTACCCAGTTGAGGGATTTGAATGACATCATAACCCTTGAGAGGGTAAAGCTAGCCAGCTGGTGTTATTTAGAATGCAGACAGATTGGAGAAAGAACACACACACGCACACACACACACACAGAGGTTCCAGTTTTGCAGAAAAATATGAACAATAGTTTGCCCCTCAAGTGCCATTCCCCTAGAATGTTTAATGGTAACAAAAATGAAGAACACGATTTTATTTTAATTTTTCAGTTCGTTTTACAGCTCAGCATAGTCTTTGCCTCGACCTGGGCAAAAAGCGTCGGCCAGTATCCTAAAGGGAGCCAATCCAATGCCACCTGCCCCTTCTGTAAGTAGGTTCTAGGAAATGAGATCATTTCCCTCATTTGGCACCTGTGACAAGGGGTCACCTGAGCTCTGTCTGCCAATCTATATTTCTCTGGTCATTTCAGGGTTAAAATTGTAGCGTTTGCTAGAGGTGGTCTTTCCTTCCTTCCTTTCTTTTTTTTTATTTTCAAAAAAAAAAAACTGTATTTTCCCTAAGATAAAAAGAAAATTGTTCACCCATCCCCCACGTGTATCCCTGTCATACTGGTAAGTGGCATTCGCAGACTTGCTCAGAAAGCAGACCCTTATTTTCCATGGCAGTCTGAGTGTCTTCATGCCTACTAACCCTGTCACTAACACACATTCTTTTAAGGGAAAAAAATTCTTCTGTGCTCTAGTTTTAAAATGCAAAGGTATGATGTTATTTGTCACCATGCCCAAAAAAGTCCTTACTCGATAACTTTGCCAGAAGAGGGAGAGAGAGAGAAGGCAAATGTTCCCCCAGCTGTTTCCTGTCTACAGTGTCTGTGTTTTGTAGATAAATGTGAGGATTTTCTCTAAATCCCTCTTCTGTTTGCTAAATCTCACTGTCACTGCTAAATTCAGAGCAGATAGAGCCTGCGCAATGGAATAAAGTCCTCAAAATTGAAATGTGACATTGCTCTCAACATCTCCCATCTCTCTGGATCTCTTTTTGCCTCATTATTCCTGCTAACCAATTCATTTCCAGACTGTGTACTTCAGAAGCAATGGGAAAAATCAGCAGTCTTCCAACCCAATTATTTAAGTGCTGCTTTTGTGATTTCTTGAAGGTAAATATTTTTTTTTTCTCTTTGAAGTCATTGGGGGAATTTTACTTAAATTGTGTACTGTTTTTCTTCTGCCTAGAACTGATATTCACTTTACATTTTTCATTGTTTCGGAACTGGGAGTTATTTATAAATTGCTGAATATGCAGTTCTGTGGGATCTGAAAAAATAGCTCCGGGAGATGGATGCATTCGCATAGATATCTTTATGAGTAGAAACTATTGCAAGGTACTTATGCTAAATCCTCCACTTCTGCAGGGCTTCGGTGGTGTCATTATAGAAGATTCCTTTAAATCCTGTCTATGGCTAAGGGCTACAGAGCGTGGATATGAACTTTGGGATCTTTTCTTTCTTTTGCAGGTGCAGATGTTTTATTTTTAAGACCGCTGTATGTGTGTGTGTGTGTGTGTGTGTGTGTGTGTGCTTGTCAGGACTTTATTTTACAAGACATGCCTCATGTAAAGAGTTCCATTTCAGATGGTATTAAAGCTTTTAAATATGATCTTTAGATCTAAGGTTCCGGAACTCCCTGCACTTACTGCCCAGAGAGACAAAGTTAGAGCAAAGTTTAATTTGCTCTTATGAAAAAGAAGTCCTTGACAACTCTTGCTGACCTTGCATATTCGTACAATCTAAACAAATGCATACTGTATACGGGAAGCAGACACTTTGTAGCAGCTGCTTGTCCAGTGTTTTCTCTCCCGGAGAGGACTTTTTCTGGGCAAAGTTTGGACTTGGGATTTTGTGTTGTAAATGTCTGATTTTATCTGCCCTGTTGCAAAGTCTCTTTAGGTAAATTTGGCTGCCGTTGTCAATGCACCAACTTCTCGTTTTTGATCACTGGCCCTGGTTCAAGTTTCCATTCTCAGCAAAATTATATCCTTTACGACTTGTGTTTTTTCAATTTGCAAGCACTTTTAAGCCGCTGTCACTGGCTCCTCCGAAGCAATTGCCTGAGGGCTCAGTTCATAAACCGTCCCAGCCACTTAGTGCAGCATTCGTTCGCTGCTTTCAGTACTTCATCACTCTTTCTTAGCAGAGGAAGTGGCTTGGGAGTTGAGGATACAGCCTTGTCAGGCACCTGATTCTGCTGTCCTTGAGATGCCAACACACGCTCTGGCCAACTTGCTTTGAAAGAAAGGCAGGCAGTGCATATATCACCTCGGGGGTCAGGCAGCTGGGGGTTTTGTCTGCCTGCTTAGGTGAGCAGCAGCCAGGCTGTGGAGGGTTCTGTCTGCATTCAGTACAAGTTGGGGAAATTGTCTCCAAGTGAACTTTTCATGCCGTGTACGCTAAGCGTTTCAGAAGTGGAGTTGGCAGCTGTACTTACAGCAGGAAGTGGCTCGAGGGAACTGTGTGCTGGTTCAAACATAATTCAAACAGCGTAAGTGTCCTGTCTAGAGACAGACCCCCCAGGAAACCAGATGCTGATTGTACGCCCAGTGGCAAGGTATTTCCAAGTTGGTGAGCCTGGGCAAGGGAGGAGAGGAGCAGGCTGGGGCTCGGGCCACTCTTCCCGGCCAGCTGCAGGAGACACACGGTGGAAATGAGTGGTTTGACTGGGGGGGTGGGGGGAGGGAGGATGGACTCAGATGCCAGCTGTGCAATTTGTTCATTGTTTGAATGGACAAAAAGCAGTTTACTCAGGCTCACAGCATACCTGCCTGGGTGTCCAAATGTAACTAGAAGCTTTCACAAACCCCACCCCCAAGGCAGCACATGCTTTTAAGTCCTTCGTTTTCTATGCACATCAGCCTCATAATACCCACCCTAACCTGCTGTAAAAGACCTGGAACAAACAAAAATGATTACACCTACAGTGAGTATTTTCTTATGACTATTGCCCTCAAATTTTACTGGGCATTTTTGGTGCAGTGTAGACATCTGGGCTCGACTGATATGCCATCTCTCTGAGCTAGAAAGAGAGAACTCTTAAAAAATCTGGATTGGTGACTGATTTTTGAGGAACTATATTGCTTTTTTTTTTCTCTTCTCTTTCTGGTTCTTCCTTTTCCCCCTCTATCACATCTTCTGTTTTTCTCTATCGCCAAGGCTTTTGTATTTGGCAAAATAAAAGGCCAGGGGAATGAGGAGCATATGGGGACACTTATTTCAAACTTTTAACTCTTAAGCAAGTTCGTTATTGTTTTCTTTGGTGGGAACATGATGTGATAAATCCTCTGGTTCTCTGGGGGTGGACTGGACTGTTCCCTGAACCAAAAGGAAATGCACAGGAGGTTCTATCTTGGGCAAGAACTATAAGTACTGATATTTATCTGACAATAGAACTCAGAAAAAGAGGGGGGAAAATCTATCTAGAAAGCTTAAATTTGTAAATGCTAGAGATATAGGAGTATTGCTGGACTTAAATGTGTTCTATCAGAAATAGCTGTTAAAAATAGGGTTTTGCCACCTAATCAAGTTCTGAATTCACTAAGGCTATAAACTGAGACAGCCCCTCCCCCACCCTGGATTGCACAAAAAGTAAAGAACTTGAAGGCATCCACCATTGCAGGTGCTTAGCTCTCAGCATTATCATCAGCTCCTCCAGGAAGGGAGGGGTGGAGAAGCAGGACTGGTGAAATCACATAGGTTCTGGAGCTGGCCCATTGCCAGGGTGTGGGGACACGCTCTGTAAGGTCAGTCACGGCTTTGCTCTTTTGAAAAGAGCCATGAAGTACAGTGGGGTGGGTTGGCTGAGGTTCCCTCTGCAAAGACTGAAGGGGAAACCCCCAACTACTTCTTTTACAACTAAGACAAATGAGCACTGGGTGATGACTTGTTCCTCACAGCCCCAGCAGCTTTGGCTTTGTGGGAGTGGAGGGTTCCATGCTGAGGCTGAGAAAATGAGTTGTCAAAATGGAGTCAATGTCCAGATGAGCTTTTACCTCCTCTTATATTTTATGTCTATTATTTATGATGATTTGCAAATAGAGGGTGCTTTTCATCTTCCACTGTTTTACAAGCATTAACTAAATATTTATACTGTGTTAACAAGAGTCAGGGTTTGGGTTTTTTTCCCAGTTGCTGGGCTGAAGGTCTGGCCACAAAAATGGAAATCTTAATTAAAATGATGGAGCAAACACTGCCACTGATCCAGAGCCATTAAGTTGGGAGTTCATGGAGGACAAGGCGGGTGGCCAGAAAATCAATGACTGAGCCTGTTTCTCCAAAACTGATGGGATTCAATGGACCTGCCCCTCTGGAGAGGTTCAAAACAAGGCTCTTTAATAATTATGGCTTCCAGCCTAAGTCCATGACCCCTGGGATAGGGTCCTTCACCTCACTTCCTGTCTGTGGTTCTTCCCGTGCTGCTGAAAGTAGATGCGAAAGGTGAGAGAAAGGCAAAGTTGCTCACCTTAGGAGCTTCCTGGAAAAAAGCACATCCCTGTGTCACAAGTAGCAATATGGAAAAATTTAATGATCATCTTAGCTCTTTTTGACTGCTTAGAGTGAGGGGGAGACTTGAGCCACAGGAATCTTGACTTTGGCAGGGCTGCCACTTGGCTGGCTGTCATTGGCGAAGTCACGCCAACCAGGGTCCCTTGGTAGATTTTGCTGTAAAATGGATACAGTGACATGCAAGTCCCTCCAAGAGATGAAGTCAGAGTTCCTGTGTTGAAAAAAAAAAAAAAAAAAAAAAGAAGAAGAAGAAGAAAGGCTTTGGCAGGTTTTGAGCCCACTGCCCAGGCCATGGAAGAGACTTTCTCCACCTGTGTGGATTTGATATTGGACATGGGGGAAGGGCCCAAGGATGCAGAAGGAGTAGCATTTACTTAGTGTGGAAGCTCAGAAACAATACCCCAAAGCGTGCCTCTAAGGCATGCTGTGTGCTTTGAACTAAAAGAAATAAGAAAACCTTGGAAGCAAAATCTCTTTCTGACTTTCCACTGCGCCTCTTTCTGCTCCCAGCAGACCATAGAAACTAGAACCCCTCCTCCCCACAGCCAGACACAAAACCTAGAAATATTACTCTCACCGTTCTGTGACTCTCTGTGTGAGAACTGGCCAAAAAGAAATTATCCTGTCCTATAGTGGGTCACAAGACACTCCAGGAGGGGTCACATCCTATACCCAGGAGATAGAACTGTTATACAGGGGGGCCACGAAGAATCTGAAGAGACAAGCATTGCCGGGTTTCCCCACCTCAGTCTCCTAACATTAGATCATACCCTTTTTGTCCAATCACATTTCTACATGACTGTCCATGCTTCATTGGACCTAAGCATAAAAATCAGAGAGTTCCCCTGGATCTCTGGGTCTTCATTCTGAAGTCTCCTGGTTCAGGTAAAACTTTGATTTTAAAATGTTATGCTTTTCTCTTATTAACCTTTTGTTATAGGGGTGTTGGACGTGACCCTAACGATGGGTGCTCCTGTTGCAGCATGAGCCAATTTCATTTCTAAATCCTGATATTTTTCCTGTTTCTGGTTTTTCCTTCTACTTGTGGTTGTATTAATTGTTGATATTCCCCAGCTAAGATCAGTCTCTCTCTCCCTCTCTAAAGAAAATATAATGCTGTATAGTGTGTTCACAAGTTCTTTTTTAGCCACAGCAATTTATTTTTCCTCAGTAGCTTGGGAATAATGTCTTGATTAATTTCATATTCTGTTCAGTAACGAATGCATATGCCATGTGTGATTGCCAATTTTTATTGATTTTAAACTAACAAATATATTTGGTCTCAAATCTGTCCTGATGACAATTTAACCTTCAATCATTCAAAAGTTCTACCAGGATTTCAGAGAGGTGTGGGTAATACTTGATGGTAATTAATGCAAGCATCTTTCATTTATGTGAGTGTTTCTGGATGTTTTATCTCCATTAGCTGTAATCAGAATCCCAAAAGAAGGGGTCTGAGAGGACTCCTGCCAGGACTCCAAGTAACAAGGGAATTAAACACAGGTTGTCTGATGCAAGACATGCTCAGCGCGTGACCCCCAGCTGTCGCTCACACACTGGGTTGCACTTGTGAGCCAGGTGGTTCTGATCAGCGTCAGATTTGGAAAACTGGGAGTAAAAGCACCCGCGTCCCACCCTCACTCCCCGCGCAAGGACCGAGGAGGAGCTCTGACCCTGCTGCTGTTTCCTTGGCAGGTAAAGATGCGCATCCTGTCCTCCTCGCATCTCTTCTACCTGGCCCTCTGCTTGCTCACCTTCACCAGCTCGGCCACAGCCGGACCGGAGACGCTCTGCGGTGCTGAGCTGGTGGATGCTCTTCAGTTCGTGTGTGGAGACAGGGGCTTTTATTTCAGTAAGTAGCCCTCCCTCTCTCTGCGCCGTGCAAGTCTGAAGTATATGGCTCTGTGAATTTACAACCGCAGGCAGTGTGTGAATAACTGAATGACTGCCCGTGGCTGGCAGCCATCCTCAGCCTCTGAGATTCCTCACCTTAAAGTAAGCATAGAGTTTCAGCGGGGCTGTGGCAGGTTTTGCAGATTTACGATGGAATTTTCCTCCTTAACAGTTTGTCTTTATTTCTTATGGAGCTTTCTTTCAGCTGTTATGAACTACCCTCACTCTTCGGTTCTTTCAATAAAAGGATAAGGGCAGAACAGCCCTGGGGTATTGAGTCTGAGACCCTTCTAAACCTGTGGAATATGTTTAGGGCTGTTTTAATTGTACACAATTTGGGGTAGCATAGGAAGGACTTTCCAGTCCAGGGCACCAGGGGAGAGAATTAAGAGGGCACATCCCACGTTTCTGCATGCTATACAAAATCACCACGGACAGCCAGAAGGTGAACTTCGCTCAAAGGCACCTTTGCAAATCCGCAGGTTCTCTCTAAAGGCGTGCCAAAATGCCATACTCATTTTCCATCCATGCTAATTGCCCTGGATGTTTTTGTCAGCGCTGTCTTTTGGCACAGCTCTTCTCGGGACTTGCCAGGGACATCTCCATCTGGGCAAGGGTATCTGACAAGTGCAGCATCACTTATCTCCTAAGTGGGTCTCAGGTGATTAGAAACTTGACAGTCAATAAAAAGTAGACAGCCAAGTCAATGCCTGCAAATAACAAATGCAAACAAAAGTCAGTGGTTCCTAAGGGAGCTGATCACTTAAAGAATCTACCTCACAGGCATCTGCTTCACTGTCTATTACAATTTAGTGGAAGATGTAAAGCCAGATGCTCATTCTGTATACTTCTTTGGAATTTTAAAGGATTCCAGGAAACTGAGCATGAATCATCCTTAAAGGTTCACATCACCCAAGTGTAGACAGCTTACCTCTGCTACCCACTAAGCTTTGACTAGCTCCTGTGATGATTCAGGCACTTGAAGTCTCTCTCATCTCCTTCCCAAACATCAGCCTGTCTCTGGGTAGGTGGTGTGTGTGTGTGTGTGTGTGTGTGTAATAGTGTATGCTGAAAGTGGAGAGTGTGTATGCCAGATTGGAGGTAGGTAGGGCATATAGGAAGGAAGAAGCTGGTAAGGGGACTGATGGTCTATATTGATCATGGAGTTGGCAGGAAACAATCTTTAAATGGCTAGTGACAGACAACCAGAAGTACCTTCAGTCATTTAAATGGGCAAATTCCCACTCCCTGCTTCCAACCAGTGCTTTAACTAAGTGAATTCATTTATTTTCCAGCAATAAAGCTATTCTATCCAGTTTTCTATAGCAGGGCAGATGAGTGAGTTCATTGGGTGGAAGCTTTTCCAAAAGCAGACTTGTTTTGCCTTTAAAAAAATCCTATGGAAGGTAAATGTGTGACACCAACATGACCCAACAGTAAGTTTTAACTGTTCTATAATTTGCTGCTTCTGATCAGCATTTTTTTCAATGAAGAAGTGGTTCTCACTTATTATGCCTTAAATGAGTGTTGTTGTTGTTGTTGTTTTTACATTGACAATCTATTTGTGAGATTTCCTTTCATCTAGTTCAGTGGATAATTGCCAAGCCCACAAGTGTCCTCTGTTACATGCTAGGTTGAACTATGAGGCTCAGCTTGATGTGCTCCAGGATTTCCATGCATGGTACATGGAAACTAGATCCTTCCATGCCAGTGATGTTTGCATTAGATGATGAAAAATGAGAATGGAAAGAATGACTTGACCCTAAGTAACTCTATGATCCTTATATATGTTCACACAAACACCTAAGAGAATTAGACAACTGTAATGGAAATCAATTTCAAGGCACTGAAGGAGTTCTTTTACTCTGTCACTACCACAATCAAATTTCAGCAAATATTTTTAATTTTGTTTTAATAACTTGAAAGGGAAATGTATATATAGCAACTCTATGTTTAGAGTATGACTTTGGATAGAAAGTGGTTTTATAAATAATGTTTTATTGTCAGTATGGTCATGAAGAGGATATGTTTCATATGTTTGTCTTACAAAATTCCTTGATTTATTTCAATACCCCATCTGACATAGACCCTCAAAACTATTCTTGTTAGCTTTTTAATAAACTGGATAATCCTGTTTGTCCAGGAGAAGTTACCTCTTTAAGGTATTTTAATTTAATTCAAAACATCAAGTGAGCATCTGTTATGTGCAAGAAACTATTCTAGATGCCTAGAAATGAATGGAAGGTTGACCTTGACTTCAAGGAACTCAGTCTAGTTGGGAGGTGAAAAAAAATGCACATAAATATTATCAAGTGTCATAAGAAAAAGTCTTGGAAGAATAGGTTGTATATTCTGCATTTTCTCTGAATATTCTTTTCAGTTTTTAACATCACCTTACCAAGTTCTACCCTCCCATGAATAACACCTTCTCAATGGGCTTCTTGATGCCAAAGGCCACATTCTTGAATATTTTCGATCCTAGTATCTAGTTCATGCCTGGCTGACAGAGTAACCACTCATATTTGACTATTGAGCTGACAGGATTGAATCCAATTCAATATAATGGAATTACTTTTTTCATAGGATCTTTGTGCTATGAACCATTGAGAATTAGGGTTGTCAAACACTTTGGACATTACCCCTCACTTCATGTTTGCCCAGTTATTTGATAAAACTAGCCATCTTTTTTTTTCTCAATTGAATATAATGTATATTAACAATGACTTAGAAACTATATTTTGGTCATCCCCAAGCTACACTGATGATCTGTTTTGTGTCTGAGCCAATTATTCTTACAGGCATTAACTGTTGTCAACAAATTTTATTGAGTTTCCTCTTTGTCCCCTGAGACTTACTGTGTGTAGAGAAGTCAAATCTTGGCATTTACAGTCTTTGAAATACTTTTTAAAGAAAAGCATTCTTCCCTACTTCCCCACTTTTACCGCCTGTTGGTTGACACTTTTTTTTTTCTTAGCTTTGTTTTCAAACTTTTGCTGTGGCTATGCCTTGTATTATAAGCTGCTTCAACTCTCTTTTGGAGTTTTTAATAGTGGAAAGCAGTTTCTGATCTTAGTTTGGATTTTAAACCTCTGAAAGAAAATTGCTTCCCTCTGTATTTTTAGTCAATCCAGAATATTTAACAAGGAGAGTTTTCTAATGCTACTAGAACTGTTCCGAGTAAAGATTTTTTGTAATTCCTATTTTTAACAGATTGATAGAGTGTTGTGAATGAGCTCATAATTCAAGCCCAAGTTCCTGTAGAGCACAGTGGAAGCAACCTTCCACATGATCTGTGCTGTGTACATTTTCCCCATGTACGTGGAACTATAACTAATGTGGCTTCCCCACACATGTTGTGAAATGAAAGATCCAGTGTAGAGCTAATTAATGATTCTGCCTTGTGTATCTGAGTTATCAACCAGCCTTGCGCTGTCATAGTCCTGTGAGAAAAATGGTGGCTTAATGGAGGTGAAAGCACATTCAGAAAGAGCTAGCTATTATCTCACCAGATTGATGGAGCCCTTGTAGAGGCTGGCTCCTTATAACCTTGTTTTGCCTGAAACACAGCAAGAGGTAAAATGAAATAGGAGAAGTTAAGCTTGCCATGGACATAAATTTTGACAGCCATGGTGATTAACCATTTTGACAGGCTGTTTAGGGGCTTGTGGAATTTCTCTCCTTAGAGATACTTTAAAAATTGATGGACAACCAACCATCTTGGATGGTTTCAATTAAGAGCAACCAAAAGCAAGAGAGTTTCTGGGGTCCTTTTTAGTTTTAAGAGTCTATAAACAGTCCCTTAAATAATGTATATGTTTTACCTCAGCAGTCTGGGGAAAAAGAGAAGTAAATCAATTAGAAAAGAAAGTTGGAAACCTTTTTAGCTGCTCCAGATTTATAGCTTTTGTAAAACATACTTCCAATGTGTAGTTATTAAGAACACATTTGAATAAAAGGATGGCATTCTTCCTGTGTTAAAATATATTTTGTAGAGAGTTTAAGTGAAACTTTGCAACTTGATTAACTTTCATCATTATGGATTGCAACAACCTTCGTAGCCTGAGATTATTCTTGCTAATTCAACCTTTTTCCCTTCAACATATAATGCCCAGAAAACTCCTCCCAGACCTGTCATTCATTAGCTATATGACTTTGGCTGATATTTACACTTACGAGGTTGGGATGTCCTTGTCTATGAAACAAGGGAATTTTGTTAAAGTAAATGACTTCTTTTAACTTTAACAGACTCATAGTCTAGGTTGCAATTAACAAGGATTTGGTTCTTTTAAAGAAAGGGGAACCTTGGATTTAAGTAGGGACCAAAGAACATTCAGGCTCCTTTATCTTCTGTACATAGTTTCTGTTGGTCCCCAAAGATAGGAGATTCCACCCACTTGAGGAAAGAGGATCCAGCTGCTTTGTTTTATTTTGTTTCAAGTTGGGCTTCAACCCCTCAGAGATGGAATAGAAGCCCAGAAATAATGCAATACACGCAGGTCACCTGGTCAAAGGAGCACGCTTCGTGGAAACCACACCACCAGCTTTTGTGTTTTGGTTTTTGTTTTGTTGGGAAGAGCTGGCTGACACTTCTCATCTTTACATTTTTTTTTTCACTTTCTTGGCAGTGAGGACAAGTGAATAGGTTCATTTTACAATTTCCCTTTATTAAGTTAGAACAGAAAAATAAGACTCTATAGGCTCCTAACCCTATTTCAATTGAAGAAGCATGTCCAATTTGAGGCACCCAAAGATACCTTCACCCAGTATCAGCATTGTTTTGACAGGGGTTGAATTTAAGCTGTACCATTTGCTTTCCTTTTCCTGGTACTCCTTAGACTGTCAACCATACATTTATGTGGTAGCTGTTCAAAGTTAGGGGTGCAGTCGCTAGCTGTGATAAGGCTTTTATCTTTGAAACTAATTGGTACTATTGCAGAATTCGCCCTTATGATCTTAGAC